CCTCTGGGGATCTGCAGAAGGGGGTGAATAGTTATACCCCAAATTCCCATGGTCTGGGGACCGGGGAGGGGGGACATCCTCCTCTCGGGTGTCTACGGCCAGTGGGGGTGATGTAGTAGTTGCTGGTGATAAAGGTATGGGTGGCGTAGAAGGAGATGAAGCTGATGACATGGTGGTTTGAGAAGCAACTGCGGCAAAATCAATGCTGGTTATTGGTTGCTCATCAACCGAAGACGGAAGAGGCCCGGTACCCAACCTCATAGTACCGGGAGCAGCGACTGGGACTCGAAAGCAAGAATTGGTATTCTCCACTAAGTCACACTCTCCCTAGAGTGCTTGGACAGTGTCCTGGCCTTATAAGCTCTTCAAATTGAGTATTATGTTGAGATGATGAAGATCGTTATCTCCTCTGTAGGGAAGCCTCTTCATCACTGGCTTCCCCATCATCATCAATCACCACAATTGGTGTGGCTGGCTCAGGCGCGACACTCTTCGCCTTTTTACTTTTGCCCTCGGCCGAGAAGGAACGCCGCCATGATGGAGCATGTTCAGGTAAAGGCCTCCTTCAGCAACCTCGCAGCCTCTATGGGATCATCCAAAACGTTCTCCTCGGGGACGGTAACAGAGCCCTGCAGAAGACCAGAATTCAACGGAAAAAGAAGTTAACCAATTTACTTATACATGAGGTAAAAACAAGATTAGTTTGAGGATTAACTTACCATGATTTTTTTGCCTTCCACCCGTATTTGAGGGCAAGTTCATTCCACCGGCGGGTCTCAAGCGTGGTAATATCCAAAATCTTCTGAACCCACTAGTCCAAGCCCTCAACCCTTGGTGGTGTCCACCGAGTTGCTGAAATAATAAATAGAGAAGGATCAGTAACAACATGAAATAACCTTTCATCAAAGAAAAGACAGAAGTTAAACTTACGTGTATGAGTCCATGACTCAGGGAAAGATGGATTTGTGGCCGGGATGATATCCCTAGTGGCAACTACAACGAACCGTTCCATCCATCCACGGTCATTGTCATCATCCATGCTGGTGAGCAAAGCATAGCGACCATGTTTGCTAAAGTTTATTACTTCCAGGCGAAAAATCTTGGGGGAGTAAAGATTCATCATGCGGGCCAAGGAGAGGTCATCTCCTGACATAGCCGTCGTAGACAAGCTACCGTCCACCACACAGAAGGTCTCACCTATGCCAAGCAGACTTGATACCGGTAGCAGAACTCCAAGATTACGGGGTCAAGTCCCCCGCTGAATGAGAATGGGCCCAAAGTAAAAGGGTACATGTAAACGTATGTAAAACCATTCTTAGGGAAGGTTACTCGCTCTGCCAGATTGGGAGCGATGATGTTCAGATCATGGCAACCACAGTCTTCATTCACAACACGAATGCTATAAGGAAGGGTGGAAGAATGGTACACACCAACAGCCCATGTACGGGAGTTAGTAAAAGGAAACTTCTCTTCCAAATTCTTGGTTTTACTGAGCTTTCTAGGAATGATGGTGCTCACTGTAGGAGGGGTAGCATCATCAGTGCTTTCTTTGTCTTTAGAGAACTTGAGTTCTTGGAGGAGGAGGCCATGGTTAGCAGAAGGTAATGGAAGTTCTTTGAAGAAGAAGAATAAAGAAGAGTGAAAGGAAGAGAGAGTTAAGTGCAAAGAAGTTGAGAGAATTTGCAAGATTGTGAAGTGTAAAAAAAGAAGAATGAGGCGTATAAGTAAAGGAATACACGGCTAAAAATGTGGCCATGATTACCTCGAGAACCGGCCAAAGTATTGCTAAATCCTGGAGTGACGCATGTTCGGGGCATTAAATGCCGAGAGACATGCGTCTAATCAAGCGTCAGAAACTTTTCAGAAGTGATCAGAAAATTTTCCGCCAAAGGTATCTTCACCAACTTCCCAAAGAAACAAAGCTGTGCCACCAGAAAGCAGGGGGCCTATCTATATAGGGTAAAATCGGTTCATATTAAATACTCGAATAATAGAGTGACACGTGGAACCGGAGACAGACGGAAAGCAAGGCAATTAGAAACCAAGATCGGGGAAAACAACTTCGGTTGACACTGGGAAGACATCCAAGGGAATTGCTAATAAAGACAAACGAATGTTTGCCACCCGAGGGCATTCAATGAGGAATATTTTTCATTATTAAATACACAGTCCGTTATAGAAAATTAGCTTAGTGGATACCTAGGCACCCAGAGAGGAGGAAGGGCGTAGTAATCAACGAAATGTTTCGGGGAGTTGAAAATCAACATAGATCCGGAGATTCCCGAATAGGGCAACCTTTCGAACTGCTGGTGAATCCATGGGCAGGCAAGAGAGAAGCAACCCTGCTCCTGCTACGGCATTTGCACATTTAGATGCTACTACCGTACTATCAAGAGGATTGGCTGCCAAAGGTATTTATCTAGCAGTACATCCTTTAGATTCAACGCCAACCATGCTTCAACCTCGTTTGATAAGGTAACTGTTCGCTTTAAAATCGAAAATGGATTCGATACAATTCAACAGAATCTAAGAAATGATCAAAATAGAAATGATTTTTTGGCATTCATAGCGCGTTGTTACATATTCATCAATGGCCCCATAATTGTCATTTAAGAGGGGCTTGATCCTGGGACCTTGTTCCCTAGGTGTAGCTATAAATAATGACTTCAACAGCCATTGTAAAGGACACGAATTTTCTGACAAACTTATGCGACATACTATTCAAAAGCTCAATAATATTTTATTTCCTGCATAGTGATATTCTTATTACTACCTTCGGAAGCTTTGCTCCCGGAACCAAGCTATTTGCTATTTTATCTCGATTTCAATGCTAAGTCTTGCATCTTATTAATTTATTTAGCATTTTGGGATCAAATCGATTCGCTTGTATATAAACCACGTTACAAATTTAACTATACCGTTTTACGGGTAAATAAGGGGTGTAATGAGGGTATTCTACCTTCCATAAATTGTAAATGAATTTTTTGAGTTCAAAGAAAAAAACTTGGAGAAACATTAGTGGAGTAGTATTTTGATGATGGCCAAATAGTCTACACATATTTTATAATTAGACTTAGTTATTAATTGTTGTCAAACCAATCAATTGATCATGTATTAAATCTAACTCATTCACAATCGATGGTATGAAGCATCCACTTGAATCACCATTCCACTCTGCACAAGTCTTTTAACGCAATAAATACATAATTTAACTTTTAATCCAAATGACAAAATCTTGAAAATCGCTAGACAAGAAATCAGTCCAAAGCCATTTGTTGTTTATCTTGTTTTCTCTTTTAAGCCTGATTACTATAGATTTTACTAGATTGTAACTGGGTATAAATAGGCCGGGACGAGTAGGTAGGGTATGACGAAGCCCGTGGGGTGACACATAGTTGTACTAGTCAGCTTTGGGCCGGAAATTGACGATTGACTGAGCGTGCTTTGGCAGCTTGTGCTGGAGTATTTTCTAATGGATTCGCTCTATTATAGGGGTGTGCATTCGATTTATCGATTCGATTTTGACCTTTATCGATAATTACTTATCGATTTGTACATATGCTTATCGTTATCGTTTCAATAAGGTTTCGATTTTTTCGATTTCGATTTATCGATTTTTGGGGCTTATCGATTCGGTTATCGATTACACCAATAAGAAAATTTGCGGGATTCCACGGAAAGTATATCGCTATAAACACGCCTAACTAATATGGACAAAAAGAAGCTAAAATAAGACGAACACCGTTTATAACATAAAAATTGTGTCAACAAGCACATGCAACGAAACTAAAGTAAGGGATCAAATGTATACCACCAACACTCCAACGGTATAAAAAAAAATACATCATCACGGCTAATTTTGTTTTCCATTAATTTGAACTTCATTCCCTTGAGCTTTAAATATGATCATTCCTTAAATGTGGTAGAGGAAATAATAGGGTTAGGGACTTAGGGTAAAAGAAAGGGTATTATAGAATAAGGGTAAAAAAAAGGAAGAAGTCTTTTTAGTATATCTTATCGGTTTATCGATAAACCGATAACCGAAGAGGACAAAATCGAAATCGAAATCGATAACTCGATAAGGAAAATTTCGAAATCGAAATCGGAATCGATAAATCGATATCGATAAACCGATAACAAATAATCGATTCGATTTATCGATAAACCGATTTGAATGCACACCCCTACTCTATTATTGTCTCCTATTCTTGATGAAGTCAGCGGGATTAAGTCGTTGGCGAAAATATAATATTCGCTCTTTGGGGTGGGCCTTTCGTACTTAAATCCGTACGGGGGAAGGAGAATTATTCAGTGCACTAAAATATAGTGACGTGATTCCATATTCATGAAAAACCAGGTTTGAAATGACACACGTTACGAATCAAGACAACCTATTTTACTGATAATAAGAAAGGATTTCGGTCTCTATTTGACAGAGGGAGACAGAGAAGAACTTAAAAGTCGGCCAAAAAAAAAAAAAAAGCTTTTAGTCTTTTGAAACTGCTCTCTTTCAAATGATTTTAGGACGTAACACTTTGATTTAATTATTTTTACACATTGATTTGACTATTTTTAAACATTGATTTGAAATCTACCACAACCCTCCTCGTCCATCCAAAATTGAGAGCAGCTATGCTCGGGCTTCGGAACAGAGGTGGAGTCAATATCTCCAAAAAAATAACTATGAGCTAATGATGTTAATGTTTCTATGTGCTTTTACCATTTAAGTCATGGTAGGATTTTACATAAATTTGCTTCAAAAGTTGAGGTCTTCTCCTACGTAACTATAACAAAAAGGACCAATGGTACGTACAAGAATCAGACAACAAAAGTTAGAATGGAGACACTTTAATATGGCTAAAATATCATCTCAATCATCCCCTTACCCTTCTAAAATCTCTGGCAAGTGAACAAGAGAATGTGCCCCCAAATCACTACGATGAAGGACAAATAGTAGGGAACTACTTCGATAAATTGGAAAATTCAAGAATATAAAAGGATGAGAATTGAAACACCATTTGTGTGGACGAATGAGGCGCCATTTTAAACATCCCTCTGCAAATCTATAGTACAGAGCAAAGTGAAAATTTCACTTCGATAAGTTACAATGCTGGAATCAGAGGAGAGTAAACTGAAGACTAAAATAGAAGAGGATCATCCAAAGCACTTAGTCATTTCACCAAATTGAGATAGAAGCCAAGATAGTGACGCAACCAAAGCTTCTTATTGCAGGAGATGTGAACTCAAGGCAAGCAGGTGGCAAATTTTTAGCTGCATTTTGCTTCAGGAAAACCAGATACATTATTTTTTTGGGGGGGGGGGGGGGGGGAATCTAGCTTTGGAGATGAAAAATACATCACTGAGGTCATTTTATCAACTTTTTAACTGTGGTTACCAATAGCTTAACAACACAAAGGGCATTAATTCTACCAGCACTTTGAAGAATAAGATCAGGGCAATATGACCAAATTCCCTGAGATCACTTGTAGATGAGGGCGTCACGACCAGGCCCAACACCAATGTAATGGATAGGTACTCCAACAAGTTCTTCTATCCTTTCTACATACTCGCGTGCAGCCTTAGGTAATTCTGAATACTTTCTTATGGACGAAATATCAGTCTGCCACCCAGGCAAGACTTCGTACTCAACCTGGTTGAATGAGATATACAGTGAAGATATTAAGTAACAGAAGATACTGGAATTAAGTGAGAGTGAAATGATAACAAGAATTAAGAAACCATGCTTATAAAGGACGCCAGAACAAAGAAGATTCCTAAAAATAGCCAAGATAGTCAACGAATCATAATAAAATGGAGAGGATCACAAGGCAAAGGGGGCTTAAATAGAAAAAATCCAGAAGCTTCACATTCTTCTTTTTCTCGGTAGAGTCAAAGAAACTTTCTTAGCCTAGTTGGGTAGGAAATATATCCTAAGAGTAAACCAAATTTATATCATCATAGAAAGGGGGAAAAAACAATTAAATGCCATCACTGGCAGTTGTTTCTTTCTCATTCATAAATATGTCAATCTGTTTGACATTCATGTAAAACTTTAAATGAATAATCTTAACTTCAAAAGACAAGGAAATAGAGGAAATGAGCTGATATCTTCTAATGAGCCTATATGTAGTTTAATCTTCAGCCACACAAATTAAATTAAGACCATTAACATTTATAAAAACCGGACACCATGTTTATGCTAAAAGGCTGGTGCAGAATAAAAGAAAACAAGCTCACCTTGATTTGGTCAAGAAGACGAAGATCAGAAGGAAATGATTCAATTGGTGTACCGTCTGGCTGTCTGTAGGAAACACCCAACTCAATTTCTGAAAGATCTGACAACACGTCTAGCTTAGTTAGATTTAAAGAAGCAAATCCATTTATCTGACAGCAAAATCTCAGTGCAACTATGTCTAGCCAGCCACAACGACGGGGGCGACCAGTCGTCGTGCCAAACTCCTGCCCGGCAAATCGAAGGAGGTCACCACCTTTACCCAAGATTTCTGTTGGGAAAGGACCAGAACCGACTCTAGTAGTGTATGCCTTAACCTGCAAGCAATATATCAATTAAAATAAATTGTCTTTATCATCAAATTGCAATAGCATGGTGAACTGTTTCCAAAGTTCATTGTAGGTTAAATCTGAAGCACTATATTTAGTCTCCTGCTTTGCATGTTGGATCCACACTCAATAACTTTTTAGAGAAAAATTAATTTTTTTTTAATCTCACAATATTAGCGAGACTTTCTGGCAAAACTGAACACCAGGATTTTCATTCTTTGGTAGCAGAGAAAAAAGAAGTAAGTTGCCTTACCACACCAATGAGATCACCAACCACTCGGGGAGCAATGCCAAGACCTGTGCAGATTCCACCGGCTGATGGACTGGAGGATGTCACAAAAGGGTACGTTCCAAAATCTATGTCCAACATAGTTGCCTGACCACCTTCAACCAAAATCTTCTTTTTCTGAGATATAGCATCATTCATAAAGTGTACAGTATCTGTGATGAAGGGTTCCAACCTCTCAGCAAATTTCTTATAGCGTTCCACTTCTTCCTTCAGCATGTCAGGGCCATAACTAAAACCTTTGAACCTTGAAGCTGCATCGGATAGTAAAAGATCAAGCTTCTGGGGGAAAGTATCCATATGCCTTAAATCACTTACTCTTATGCCATTTCGGATGACCTTGCTTGAATAGCAAGGCCCAATGCCTCTCTTCGTGGTGCCAATAAAGGATTTAGCTAGCTCAGCTTCTCTAAGCCCATCTACTTCTTGGTGAAAATCAAATAATAAGTGAGCACGATCAGATACCAAGATCCTTCCTTGACAAGAAACTCCATTAGATTCAAGGCCATCAATTTCTTTAAATAATCCTGGTAGATGCACCACAACTCCATTACCAATAACACATAGAGTTTCCTCATTCAGAATACCCGAAGGAACAAGGTGAAGAGCAAACTTCTTTCCCTCTGAATTGTAAATAGTGTGCCCAGCATTGGCTCCACCCTGCCAAAATCAACATTGAAGGGCTGAGAGTAGAAGGAAAAAACTTATCGACAGTGTTGTCAAAGGCGCGCTTAAAGCACGCTTAAGCCCTGAAGCGAGGCTAAAAACATGCTGAGCGCTTCGCCTCGCTTTGGGGGCGCTTCAGTGTCGCATCAAGGCTCTAAGGCATACTCTTTCTTGCCAATGAAAGGAATCTTGAAAAGGCAACACTGAACAATTGATATTTCATTTTATCGCAACTCTTTTTCAATTTTTCTGTTTGTATATGGGTTATTCATGCTTATAGTTATTGGTCTTGGACTACATATATATAATTTTTACTTTTCTCCAGTTGCGCCTTTTTTCGTTAAAAAAAAGCCCACGCTTTGTTTGTGCTTTGCGCTTAAAGCCCCAACGTCCTTAGAGCTTTTTTGCGCTTTTCACTTTTGATAACACTGCTTATCGACCATTTATTCTTAACTGCCCCCCCCCCCCCCCCCCCCCCAATCTTCTCTCTCCGAATAAGGGGGAAAAGGGGGAACATTGCTTCTTGGAGCTTTAACCAACCATAAACTAGATTTATACCCTGTGATTCTCCTCCAACTTCTTTTGTTGACTTTTTTATGACAGTTTTGATTTATACAATTATTAAATTTTATTACAAGTGTTTTTATGACTTAGCTAAATATACATAGTTTGATTTAAAATTTGAGCTAAATACAAAATTGGCAAGTAGGCCAAAACTAAATGCATTCGCTAGCAAAAAATGTACAAAATATATACTTATATTATAGGTATACAATACACATATATATACAAAATATATACGTTTCGTCGGCTAATATTTTTTAGAGCAGGAAATTCCTGATTTCACCACTACTCAGAGGACAAATGAATTACCTATCTCATTTTTCGAGTTAACTAAAATTAAATATTTCGCTAGAAATTCAATAAAACCAAGGACATTACTGTTACAAAAAATACGTCAAGAAATTAGTTTAGCGAAAATGCTTAGGATATTCGTGAATACCTGACAGCGAGCAACAATATCGAAATGCTTGGCCAAAATATCAACGAGCTTTCCTTTCCCTTCATCGCCCCACTGGCAACCCAACACGCCCGACACCTGACTCAGCGACTCAATCCGACTCAGTTCCGACTCCTTCGACTCCACCACCGCCGCCGACGGCGGAGCAACCGGCTTCGCGGAGCAAACAACAAAGGAGGAATAAGAAGAAGTTCTCTTCCTTTGGTGGACCTGCAGCAGCCTACAATTGTAGGTCCCACTAAAACCCAGGGCCCCACTCCGGTGAGTAGCTGCCGTAGAAGTGATTGGGGTAGGGCCCACCCTGAGGGTTGAGAGATTCATGGTGGTCAAGGGGGTGGGATGGGTGGGTGGCGAAATTGAAAGAGAAGCGTTTTGAGGGTTTAGTTAGGGGAGAAAAGATATTACTTTTTGAGAAATAAATTACGAAACGGGGAACGGAAATATTTAAAATGTATGTAAAGAGAACTGATATTGGGAGCAAGTTGGTTTTTCTAGTGCACTACTTGAAAAAAACGCCGAAATTCTTATTTGCAAATACTTCTTTGGCTATGTTTTCTAGTGTAAGTTGTTTTTTCTTGTGCTTCTCTAATTTTGAGTGTATTGGAAATAACCTCTTTATTCGTATAAGATAAAAATAAAGTTACATGTTCATTATCTTAGTCAGACTCCACTTGTAAAATTACGAATTTATCGTTATTTTTATTTGTTGTCTGACTATTGAGCTTCTTTTTTTCCCCCTCAAATACGAGTCATGATTTTATTGCCACTGTGTGCAAAAAGCAGTTGCCGAAGGGGGACTAGGCCTTATACATTTGGAAGCCTGAACTAGATATTGAGCTTTTCTAAATGCTGAAATATAAGATTTAAACTCGAAGTTATGATACTAATTTAGATGTGTTTTAAGTGAAAATAGTGTTTTGTTTTCACTAATAAATTTTGAGTTTTTACAACAACAACAAAAATCAAGTAAAGTTTATGTCCTAACATAACTTTAACTTTTATTTTTTTTTGTCATTTCAACTTAAAATGTACTATGTATTAAACTTAATTAAGAAAAAGGGCATTATTTGGGGAATAATTATTAGATAGGAAAATGGAAGATTTAAAATGAATATAAAGGGTTGGTATTGGGAATAAAGTTGTCCCTGTAACGAATCTTTGGTCTTGAAAGGGAGCCACAGAAAAGACATGAGAGGAGGAGAGTAAGTTTCTTTTCTGAATAATATAGGTAAATCTTTTTGAACATTTATTTAGTGATAATAGAAGCATGTTCAATTTTTAAAATGTTTAATAATTTCTTCACACAAAACTGACAAGTTCCAATGAGAATTAAGAACATCTTATGAATATTTCAACTTTTTGAGAAAGGGATTTACACATCATAATTGAAAGTAACAGTTTAAGACAATTACTTAAGGTCATATTATTTCGGATTTATTTTGGTGAGCTGTTTAAATGATTGAATCTTAATATATTCTTATTAACTGCAAATTGTTTTATCATTTTGTTTGTTTTTTAAGGGCCCTCTTGTTTGGTCCTTTGGTTTTATGACTTTATCTAAAGTCAGCTAGTGTTGGCCTTACAAATCGAGAAAGCACGTACAAAATAATACTTTTTGATATTTTAAAAAAAAATTTAAAATTTTATTTTTATTCTTAATGAGATATTTATAGCAACAAAAAAAATTTATGATTTGTTTTAAATTACAACTTTTAAAAAAAAGCTTTTATTTTTTCTTAAACTCCATTCTCAATTAAAGTGCACCAAATAAATCTAGACAAAGGTACTAATAAGAAAAAAAGGCAGTCCGGTGCACTAAGCTCCCGCTATACGCAGGGTACGGGGAAGGGCTGGATCACAAGGGTCTATCGTGGCCGGACCGCAAAGGTACTACTAATAAATAAAATTACTCTCTCTATCAACCGGAGCAATATTTCTATCAAATTGGATCTATATTTTACCTTCTTACCCGATTTGGCCACTTTATATATAATTTGATTTTTTCTTTTGAGATTGTTACACAAATAGCAGCCAAATTCAATAATTTTTTTTAGCTGGTATACATAGATTATATATTGATTATACAAAGTTTATATATATATATATATATATATATATATATAATATATATATATATATATATATATATATATATATATATATAATATATATATATCCACCGGCTATTTTTAGTTTAATATATTAGGTGGACGATTATTTGAGTTATTTTTTCTAAAATTGTTCATCTTTTAGTCCAACATTAAAAATCCATTTCTAATATGCTGGGACATGCCAATCAAATGGCAGGCCTGGAACGAATGAATATTTCTTATAGCCCGTTTGGCCAAGCTGCAAAAATCAGCTTATTTTGAGAAGCGCTTTTTTTCAAAAGTGTTTTTCTCAAAAGTACTTTTGGTGAGAAGCAGTTTGTGTTTGGCTAATTAATTTGAAAAGCACTTCTGAGCAGCAATTAGTGTTTGGCCAAGCTTTAAAAAACTGCTTCTAAGTATATTTTCTCAAAAGTGCTTCTCAAAAAAGTGCTTTTGGAGAGAAGCTACTTTTTTCTGTTTCTCTAAAACTGCTTCTGCTTCTCCTCAAAAGCACTTTTTTTCCTTCCAAAAGCTTGGCCGAACACCTCAATTTTTGGCCAAAAGTGCTTTTGGCCAAAAAAAACACTTTTGGCCAAAAAGAAGCTTGGCCAAACAGGCTATTAGACTCTCTCACTAAGTCTTGGGCGATTTTATGGTGTGCCTCACACAACTGAAATTAGTTGTGTGAGGCCTCTTTTTATCTCACACATTTGTGGTCCCATATCTTTTACATTTGGGTCCACAAAATTCTAGGACTACAAAGTTGTGAAACAAAAAACAAAAATTTCACATAACTAGTGTCAGTTGTGTGAGGCTCAAAACAAAAATTTTTCTAAGTCTTCGAAATAACAGAATGTTCCCTACTAAGGCTTTTTCAAGTATAACACGACAAACTTTTTTTTCTTTTCTTCTTTCTTTTTAAGCTAGAAAAAAGAATTTCGATTGATAGGCGTCTAAGGCCCCGTTTGGTCATGAGTTTGCCAAAATAAATTTGGGATTTATTTTCAAAACTCATGTTTGGCCATAAATTTTGCCCATATTTTGGCCAAATTCCAAATCTCAAATCTCAAATCCCAAAACCCCAAAACTTGGAAATTATATACATGTTTTTCCAAAATAAAGTTGGAAAATATGTTTTGAAAACGTATGTCCAAACACATTTTCATCTTCAAACCAGACTTCACCCAAATCAGATTTTTTAAAATAAATTTGGGATCTATGGCCAAACGCTAGCTAAATATGAAGCTGAAGTTTTGTTGGGGCGAGACTCGAACTCCATTGAAGGAGCTTCAGAGCTCGAAGTTCAACTTAATTCTGAAAAAATCTTACTCTGCAACGGTTGGGTAAGATTAAAAATTATAAGAAAATTTTGTAGTAACTTGAATCTAGAGTGCTGGCCGGGTTGATTGGGTTTCATTAATATTGATTTTGGGAATCAGACCAGTGGAAAAAGAAAGTTGAAGATGAACCCAATTTTTGTATACATGTTATATACCATTATACAATATTATACAAAATTATAATAAGTGTATAATATTATATATTGGGCGTGTAAACATTATTATACAATATTGATCTTTCTGTTCGCGGATTTTTGTTCGATTTTGATGCAATAGTCCTTCTTTTGCGGTAAGTTTCTCTTTCACTGTAATGATTTTAGCTTTGTTGCATGTTTTTGGTTTTTTGTTTGGCTGTGTTTCCATTTGGCTTTCGTTTTGGATAGATTTTATTTAGATTTTTTTTTTGGCTTTTAGTTCGTATCCTTTGTGTTTTCCATTAACACTTATTTTGCTTTTTTGTGCTCGTAAAATATAGGAATACAATATTATATACAAATTTATACAAAGTTATACATTATTATATATGTGCAGTTAAAGTTGAAATTAAATTTTTTACATTTTTTCTTACTTTTTCTCGAACAATTATGTATAAAGCCGATGTTGTTATTGATTTCTCTGCCAAATAACGAACTATAGCAACAAATCCTATCAATTTTTTATATTTGCTTTCCGCTCTTTGAAACTTGGGAAGAAGAAAATTTAGATCTTTTCAAGTTGTATTGTGGTCGTTTTGCATTTTGTAGCCGCAATAGATTTTTTTTAAATTTCCTTTCAATTTAGGAGGATCTATAGTGTATCCACACTTCCCCTCCAGTGTGACTCGAACCCAGGACCTAACGGTCATGGGTGGAGGTGCTTTACCAACTGAGCAATAGAAATTTATATAATCGATTTAGGTTGGTTGTATACAAAGAATCAAAATTCACACAAATTTGTCATAGAAGATCTAGAGAATCAAGTTTTTTTTTGTATATGGGCCTATTATCTTTGGGCTACTGTTTACCCGTAAAACGGCACAGTTAAATTTATAGCGTGGTTTATAAACAAACGAACCGATTTGATCCACAAATGATAAAGAAGTGAGAATAAAAATAAGATCAACGACTAAAATTAAAGGAGATAACGAGCCTGATTCCGAACTCGATCTTTCCGAGAGCAAATTAAAAGGCACTGATCAAGCAATGATAAAACTACTTAGATTGAGCGTAAAATAGTAGAATAAAGCTTTGTGTGCAGAATGTTTCATGTCCTATAAGGGTTTTCAATCTTGCTATATATAGCTATCATTAGGGAGACAAGATCCTAAAATCAAGCTCCTCTTGAATGAGAATAAAAATGCCATTGATGAGTGCATAACGATTGGTCTTTAAATGCAGATATTCTCTGTAATGACTGCTCATTAAATGTTATCCGATATGAAGCCTTTGAATCTTCACCATCGGTTGTGCTTCCTTCGGGATCCATCCTATACCGGTTACATATTTCACACCCAGTGCTAGTTATTCGTTAACTCATCTTTTATCTGTCTTCATATGTCACTTTATCATTGGACCACCTATTATCAACCAATTTCATCCCACATAGATAATTCTCCTGCTTTCCGGTGACACAACTTAGTATTACTGGGTAGCTGATGGAGATTCCTTCCTTGGTGGGGAGTTCCTGAACAGTCTCTGACATTTAAAGGGACGCACGTCTTCTTGCATTTAATACCCCGAACATGTGTTGCCCCGTGATTCAGCAAATATTTTTGCCGACTTTCGAGGTAATCATGACCACGATTTTTGCCGTCTATAACTTCTCCACTTCTCATCATTTTTACTTCTTCACTTTCACTATTTCCACAACTCTCTCTTTCTCTCAATTTCCTTAGATCTTTTTTACAACATTCAACTTTCTTAGTAAGAACATCTTTACCGATCTTTTACCACCATGTCTTCTTACGCCGCTTCCTTCGGAAACACTGGTCTTCTATTCGGTGGAGGCCCAAAGAAAAACAAAGCCAAAGATCTTGACGTTGAGTCTGAA